GCGATCTTGGGGGGCCTCTTGGGCCGCCTTGGCGCGTCGGGAAGCGGAAGAGGCAAGAACGCCAAAATCTCTTAAAAACGTGTGGGAAATCAATGCATTTTGCTTCTTGGGGCTCTCGTGGGAAAGCTCCTGGAGGCCTCTTGAGGCGCTTTGCAGGCCTCTTGGGCCGTCTGGAGGCCGTCAAGGCGTCTTGGACAGATCGTTCGGCGATTCGGGGTTCTCTTGGACTGCCTCTTGGGGCACTCTTGGCCCGTCTTGAGGCTTTTTTCGGCTCCGGGACTCCCCGGGGGGCGCTCCGGGACTCCCCAGGGGAGCGTTCTATCTAACCCCCCTCCGGGACCCCTCCCCCCTACCCCCCACTCCCCCCGGCGGGGAAGGGATCAAAGGAAAGGGGCTTCTTTTCGACTCAATTACGACGTTGCTCAACTTCGCTTTGGTTGGCGCGCTGATGAGGTCCCTGGAAAAGGGGGGAGCTTCGACGAGCCCAGGGCAAGGGGGAGGCAGTGAAAGGGAACGACAGAGACGACGACCAACGAATGACGGAGATGACGACTTGACCGGACAAGCACCTCACACACGCCGACAAGGTCGGCGGATTTGTTTTTCTCTCTCTCTCTCTCTCTTTCCTTTTTTCTCTCGTTCTCTCTCTCTCTCTCTACCTCTGTTTCTCTCCCTCTCTCGTTTTTAGATGTGTCTATCAACTCATGCTTGTTAATATCTCTCTTTCTTTCTGTCTCTCTCTCTCTCTCTCTTTGTTTGGCCCAAGAACTTGTCCACGGAACAGTTTCTTAAGCGTGATTTGGATCCTCAGACCATGGCCGGGGGGCCCAGCGGGATCTGGCATTCCTGCGTCGAGTACCACCGCCCGCCTACGACTGCACACCGCGCCGCCCGCCTGGCCAGCGAACGCGGAGGGCGCCACGCGTGGCACGGCCAGCGCTGGCCCAGAGGAAAGTCCACCGGGGAGGCAGGCGCATCGACCGCTGGCCGCCACGCGCGGTCTATCGGACCCGCCGCCCAGTGCCGCCCGCGCGCGAGCCAGCGCGAGCGCGCCGACGGCCATTCGGGCGCTCCTGCGGCCGTCTGGGCCCGCTCACGGGGACCTGGCGGCCGGGACCGGCGGACCCATCAAGCCCGAGGCGGCGCCGGCCCCCGTGCCGCGCCGCATCGGCGGCCTCGAGGACGAGATCCATCGACTCCTGGGCGCCGAGGCCTGGCAGCGTGCCGAGCTCCCCGCGCTCGCTGCCAGACACTCCAGGCGGCCCAGTCTCGTCTGGCACGACAAGCGCCTGCTTCAACGGCCACCTCCGAGGGTGCTCCACGCCAGCAGCGCCGTGTGCTCGGCCGCCCCCAGGCCGCCGACGCGCGACGCCGACCGCTGGGGTCCTGCGTCCGGCGTGACCAGCGTGACCATGGTACCCCCGAGCCCCCACCTGGGCAACACCCAAATGAGCGACGTCAACGAACGGGGTCGTCTTTACCGACGTTGGCGCAGAAGCCGCCCGCGTAAGGTCGCGCGTGAGCGCCTTCGTCTCCAATGTGGCGTGCCGCGCCGGCGCCCCACGTGAGCCGCGGCGTGAGGTCGCTGTGCCATCTCGCGTAAGACCGGTTGTTGATCGTCGCTTAGGTGGCTTCGGCACCGAAAGCAAAGGTCGCAGCTTCGAAGGTCGTTGAGGGGACGAAGAGCGGTGTACAAGAAACACGTGTCCACCGTCGGGGCGCCTGCCCCAGGGGGAGGTTGGAAAGTTTGTACCCCTACAGTGGAAGTCGTACCCCTACAGTTTGTTTTCGTCGCCCACCTGGGCCACACCCAAACGAGAGCTGCCCAGCACCCACGGGCGATTCGCCCCCCAGGGCTGGACCTAAACGGTGTTTTTGGCGATTTCGTGGGTTGTTTTCGTTTCGACTTCGTTTTGTGGTAAAGGCGGATTCGAGACAAAAGCGAGGGAAAACGAAAACAAAACGAAAACGAAAAACACCGTTTAGGTTCAGCCCTGCCCCAGATCCCAGTGCGTGCGCCATGGGCTCGCGGCCACTCGGGACTCCGCCGGGGCACACTCGGGTTCTGTCAGTCCACGAATTTCGGCCCTATTGTTGGCCGATCTGGTCGAGACCGCCCTTCCGAGGCCGAGGCCTCGGTCGCGGAGTGCCCCGCCACTGCGCCAGAGGACGGAGGAGGACGAGGATGAGAAGGATGGAGGAGGGAGGAGGAGGATGGAGGTGCGAAGGGGATGGAAGCGAGGGCAGCAAGGGCCTCATGACACTCAGCGTGCCCCCGGGACTTTGCAGGGTAATCATCCTGGCTCCCCGCGTCAGCTCCCGAGGGCTGCGCTACGGGAGTGCGGCCCCAGGCCAAGGCGGTGCGCACGTCTGTGGAGGGCGGGCGACGCCGTCTCCCTGGCTGCGCCCACCCAGACGGCTTATCAGTCGAGTTGCCCGCGCTTTTTGTTGCTGTGTGTTGTTGTTGCTGCTGCTGCTGTTGTTGTTGGTGCTGAACTCTCACAACTGAAGATTAACTATTGTCGATCCCCCTCTCCAGTATAGTATTTCGGTCTTTCAATGAAGTGCCCTTCCCAGGGCTCGCACCCTGGTTTTATCAGGAAAAGTCTTCCTCATCAAACTGCCCCAGAACTAAACAACAACCAAAAACAACAACAACGGCTCCCGCCGGATACTTCCTCACAACTTTTCCCAGATCGCGCTCTCGCGCGGGACTTCCTCGCAATTGATTTAGGAATCGCGCTCTCGCGTGGGATTTCCTCGCAATTTATTCAGACGCCGTGCCCTCGACATTCAGGAGTCACGCTCTCGCTGTGGATTTCCTCACGATTGATTTGGGAATCGAGCTGTCGCTCGAGACTTCCTCGCGATTCATGCAGGACGCACGCTTCAGTAACCCACCTGCTCGACCTGGCCGCCTGGGCCCTCCTTCCCGACCCGCCTGGTAGGGTCTACCCGCCCGATCTGCCCGTCTGGTTCTGCCACGTGTTTTCTGCTCCTAGCCCCCCTCCTGCTATTCTCTCCCGTGCTCCATCCTCCTCCTTCCCACTTGTGCCTTCCTTCCATCCGTCCTCTCTTCCCCTGCCTCAGGGGCTGCACGAAATACACGATGCAGGTAAGGCAGATACCTCCAAGGGGGTACGGTCGAAGACGAAGAGGGCGGGTATCGAGGGTTCGGGAGATACGTGTTGAGTAACACGCGAGCAGACAAGAGTGAACCGTCTTAAAAGTGTTGTTGTTGTTGTTGCTGTTGTTGTTGTTGGTGATGGTGATGGCGGTGGTGTTGTTGTTGTTGCTGCTGTTGTTGTTGTCGTTGTTGCTGTTGTTGTTGCTGCTGTTGTTGATGATGCTGTTGTTGGTGTTGGTGCTGTTGTTGATGCTGCTGTTGTTATTGTTGTTGATGGTGATGGTGATGATCATTATGATGATGCTGTGGCTGATGATGATTATGATCATGATGGTGATGGTGATGTTGTTGTTCTTAGCAACCAATGAATTATGTAGAATCGTCGTCGTAGGGCCAAGCGGCCGCGGGCAGGAGGGCGCGAGCCCCTGCTGCAAGCTTCGGGGTAGTTAGAGGTCCCCCGCGGCCGTCTTCAAAACGCCCTGGCACCCGTCGTCGACGTCGCGGACCTCATCGTCGTCCTCGTCGTCGTCGTCGTCGTGGACCTCGTCGTTGTCGTCGTGGACCTCGTCGCCGTCGTGGACCTCGTCGTCGTCGTCGTCGTCGTCGTCGTGGACCTCGTCGTCGTCGTCGACGTCGTCGTCCCCCGCTACCGTCTTCAACACCCTGGCACTAGCCGACCGCTGGCGCGTGCAAAGCGGGCGTGTGGGCGAGCCGTCGTCCGAGCTCGTGCGTTTCCTATCTCTCTCTTTTTTTTGTTTCTCTCTCTCTCTCTCTATCTCTTTCTCTTTCGATGTGTATATACAGATTTATCTATGTGTGTATATATATGTGTGTGTATCGCTCTCTTCCTTCCCTCCATCCACGCACCGACCCCTTCCCTAACCCGTCCTTCTCCATCACCCCTTATCTCTCCTGGTCATCGTCGTCATCCTGCTCCTCTTAGGTTCGTTTCTACTCGTGATCAGCACCATAAGCGTTCTTCTGATCCCCCTCCTTGTCCCTTCCTCTCCACACCTTCCATCTCTCGTCATTACTCCCTCTCCAGGTTCTCCTCGTCACCATCTGCATCCTCATGCTCCGCCCGCTCGTCGTCATCCCTCCGTCTAGCCATCCCTTGTCCCTCCCTCTGTCTCTACCTCCTGCTTCTGTTCCTGCTGCTGCTGCTCCTCCTCCTCGCTGAATGGTGAAGTCTGTGCGAATATTTCGCGGCTGAGTTGTGCGCTCTGCACGGGCACTGGGCAGGTTTCGCGCCAGTAGTGCACCCAGGCAGTGCGTTACAGTAGTGTGCTCGAACAGCCGCCAGATTCTTCTGCCTTGTGCGATGGTCGGATCCAGGCAGGCACGTCAGCGCTGCTCCGCAACAAAAACAAAAAATACAGACGCTTGCCAACACGAGGGCCGGGACCTCCGGCGGATTGAGTTCTGCTTCGATCCCTTGAGGATGATGATGATGAGGAGGAGGAGCAGGAGCAGGAGGAGGAGCAGGGGGAGGAGGAGGAGGAGGATGAGGAGGAGAAGGAGGAGAGGAGCAGGGGGGAGGAGGAGGAGGAGGAGGAGGAGGAGGAGGAGGAGGAGGAGGAGGAGGAGCAGGGGGAGGAGGAGGAGAAGCGGGAGGAGGAGGAGGAGGAGGAGGAGGAGGAGGAGGAGGAGGAGAGGAGTGATGCGCGTTGCTGTCTCTTCAAGACGAGGACCCGACACTACAGGATGGTTGGGACAGTTAGCCTGACGACAAACCCAGCCATTTGCACTTGCGATACCTCCTCTGTGGCCGCCACCCACCGTTCCATGCGTCCTACTGTGTCCGTTGCCCGGCGCGGCCCGCCGGCCACTGGAGCGCGTCGGCGTCCGCTCTTGCTGCCTGGCAGGAGTTCGCTTTTGTTGGGACAGCCGGGGGGGTCCTCACGAGAGCGGCTAAGGGCGAGAGGTCGGCCCAGGGGAGGGGTGTCGAGGGGTCCGTGGGTCCCGTCTTCCAGTCCACCCGCGCAGGAATCGAGAAAGAAAAGACGCCATAAGCATAAACAGTTGGCGCTCCGCGCGGGTTTCTTGGATCCGCTCGGAGTGCCAACAGTTTGTGTGTACGGCGTTTTTCTTCTTCTAAGTCCACCCGCGCAGTAGGGCGGAGCCACTCTCCAAGGCCCCCCCTTGCAACCTTCCCCGTAGGCCCCATCCCTAGCCGCTCTCGCCTGCCGCGCCCCGCTCGCAAAGTGTCGACATGGCCTTCCAAGGCCCCTGCATCCTTGTCGCGCGTCCTTACTCAAGTGGCTTGCGCCATTCCGCCGACCCCCACAAGGAGTGAGTGTTTGAGGCGAGCGTGGAAGTGATATCTTGGGCCAGGGGACTCTTAGGTGCAAATGATGTGGCGCTGGTTGTGCTTCTCGAGGGCCTCTTGGAGGGCTTCTGGGGGCATCCGGGAGGCTTTGGGGGGGCCTCGCGGGGGCCTCTTCGGGGCTTCCCGGGGCGTCTTGGAGGCCCCTCGGGGGCCTCTCGCCCGCGGGGGCGCGAACAGGATCGCGCCTCGCGCGTCGTTCGGCCTGGGCCAGCGCGGCCTTGCCCTTCCCCACGGGAGGGCGGGGGGCGGCCCGAGGGCGCGCGAGCGCGAAGAGCGCCGCGCGTCTCGCCTCGCGGGGCGCGCGGCGCGAGACTGCCCGCGTAAGGTCGCGCGTGAGCGCCCTCTCGCCTCCAGTGTGGCGTGCCGCGCTGGCGGCCCCCGTGAGCCGCCGCGTGGGATCGCTGCGTCAGAAGGCAAAGATCACAGCTTCGGAGGTCGTTGAGGGGACGAAGAGCGGTGTACCATAAAAACTTGTCCGCCGTCGGGGACGCCTGCCCCAGGGGGGGGCTGGACAGTTTGTACCCTACAGTGGCACGTCGGGGTATAAACTTTCCAGCCGCCGCGGGGCAGGCGTTTCCGACGGCGGAGAAGTTTATTTAATCGCTTCGCTCATTCCGCCAGCCCTGGAGCCCTCTTTAGGGCCTCTTGGGGGCCTCTTGGGGAGTCTCTTGGGGCTCCTTGGCGGCGTCTTGGGGGCCCCCAGGGCCTCTTGGGGGGCTCTTGGGGGCCTCTTGGGGTGTGAGGGGGGGTAGTCAATTATGGCTCCCCCCTCGGAGGCCACGATCCTCGTGAAGGGTGTCGAAAAATTGCCCCGAAAACCATCTCTGACCCGAGTCTGCCGGGACCCTGCCGGGGTACTTTTCGTCCAGAGACCCCCAGGGGGCCGCCCCGCGCGCGCGAAGTAGAATATTGTTAACCAGTTACCGGAGATCTTAGCACGCCTCTGGCCCGTTGGGCCGGCGAATTTCATACCGTCCTTCGCCCGCGAAGTCGTGGAGCCGTTCTTCGCCCGCTAAGTCGTGGGGGGTGTCAGCGAGTCCTGACCATCTTGCCTAGCGAGCTTGGAGGTCTTCGTTCCGGAGGGAGGGGCGATGGTGGCGATGGTGGATGGACGATGTGTAATGGAGGCTGGGTGTCGTTGGCGATGCGTGCTTGGCTATCCATGCGTTTCGCAGCGGGATCGCGGAAACTGAATATCATCCTGGCGAAGGACCCAACCAGATGCAGTTTTGGGTGCCGCGTTGTGGGTACCGTTTTCTGTGGAGCTCCCTCTGGGGCCACGGCGCGTGTGAGGGGTGTGCCGAAGTGGGCGCGATGGTGCCATGCGAGCGCAAATCATTGGAGCTTTCGGTGGAGCTTCCGATGAGGCCACGAAACGTGTGAAGGGTGTGCCGAAATGGGCGCGGTGGTGCCATGCGAACGCGGCCAGTAGTGCCGTCGGTGGGGCTCCCTATGTGGCCGCGAAGCGTGTGCGGGGTGTGCCGAAGTGGGCGCGGTGGTGCCAGGCCAAAGCAGCCACTGGGGCCTTCGGTGGAGCTCCCTGGTGGGTTCATGAAACGTGTGAGGGGTTTGCCGAAATGGGTGCGGTGGTGCCATGCGAACGCAGCCACTGGGGATTTCGGTGGAGCTCCTTAGCGGGCCAGGCAACGTGTGAGTGGTGCACCGACATGGATGCGGTGGTGACATGCCGACGCAGCCACTGGGGCCTTCGGTGGAGCTCCTTATAGGGCCATGCAGCGTAGAAGAGGTGTGCCGACGTGGGCGCGATGGTACCATGCGAACCCTGCCATTGGGGCCTTCGGTGGAGCTCCCCACGAGGCCATGCAACGTGGGAGGGCTGTGCCGAACTGGGCGCGATGGTGCCATGCGAACGCAGACACTGGGGCCTTCGGTGGAGCTTCGTATGGGGCCACGAAACGTGTGAGTGGTGTGCTGACGTGTTTTACACGCGGAGGGCAGAGGCAAGCATGGGAAGAGGGGGAGCAGGAGGGGGAGAAGAAAGGAGTGAAACGCGGGGCTCTGTCTCTTCAAAACGAGGGCCCAACACTACAGGATGGTTGGGAACAACATGTGCGCACACACACACACACACTGGCATGACTTCTCGCAAAGTGGCGGCCTGGCGACATTCGCAGTCTCCCCATGTCGTGGACATTCTTGCAACCATGAGCACCATCGGGTTCTCATGTGTCCCCTCCTGCTTGTGCTTCCTCTTCCCCCGAACCCATGATGCCTCATGATGCGGAAGGCAGTCTGCACAGATGTAGTGGAAGCGGAGCTCCTGGAGTGTACATTTGATTATGGTTGCCGAGTGGTCCTGACCCCGGCGAGGTTCAGGACGAGCAGCTTGCGGAAACCCGAGTGAGAAGTCCAAGAAGACCAGTGATTAGATCAGTTGGTTCAAGGGGGCCTGGAGGAGGGAGACAAAAGCCAAGGGAACAGGGTGACTTTCCTGCATGTTGCGCCATCCCTGCGAGGCCCAGCGGCATGGGCTGAGGAAGGGAAGGTGGTGTTGACCGCCCATGAGATGTACGGGACGCTTGTTGCCAGCAGTCCTAACGGCTTCTCGTGACCAACATGTGTATACATTTGTTTGCCCATTTGTATTCCAAACAGTGAGTTTGTGCACCCTGAGTGTGTAAGCTAAGTGGCGTAGTACAATCAATGTTGATCGCCTCCCCACGTGACCACCTCCAATGCTCGTGCGAGCCTCCCACCCACCCACCCGCAACTTGTTGGCACAGCTCCGAACTGGGCGATTGCAACGGCGATGATGATGACGATGATGACGATTATGATGTTCATGACGACAGCAGAGACGATAACGACGACGATGGTGAAACTGATGGTGATAATGACGATTTTAATGACCGCATTGACGGTGAAGATGACGATGCTGTTGGTGAGGATGGTGAGGAAGTGCGCGTGCAAAAAAATTGACGAGGGCGACGACGTCAACGGTTACGATGATGACGGTTGTGATGATGACGACGTTGGCGATAGCGATGTTGATGACGATGGCAATGCAGATGCTGGCGATGATGATAGCAATGGTGATGATGAGGATGATGAGGAAATGTGTGCGCGCAGACATTCAGAACCCCCAGCCGCTGTCCATTAAACAACCCTTTTGTGCGTGTGTGTCATCGTCCTTGGCTTCAGCGCCGTACTTGACTTACGTCGCCTTGTCGCCGCGCGCGAGGCCACGACCGCCAACAGTGTGTGTGTGTGAGTGTTTGTGTGTGTGTGAGTGTAAGTGTAAGTGTAAGTGTGTTTGCGCGTTTCGTATTGGTTTGAAGTACCTTGTCTTGGAATGCTCGGACAGTAAATGGTTTTAGACGAGCTTCGACATGCGCGCGGGGACTCGCGCGTGTGGCCCGCACGGTGTTACTTGACAGAGTTGGCGGGTGCGCGATGATTGAACGTTTTCGACATGCGCGCGCGAGTGGCCCGCACGCTTGTGTGTGCAGCAGGATTGCTAACATCGAGCGGATGTCTTACGATTTCAACGCGTACGCGCAGAAGTCTCACATTTTTTGTTGACAACCCGTTATTGTCTATAAATTTAGAATACGCATCAGAGTGGTTAGAAGCCAATGGCTGGTTGTTCCATGGTCTTGGCATGCGCGCACTGCGGCGCGCGCGTGTGCCTCGAACTAACTCATGCAACATATTATTACAGAGAACCTGTGTTGGATCAGCGCAAATGCACCGCATAGTATTACATGACCATGCGAGAAGGGACGGGGGCAACCTTGGCCTCGGAGGGGGGTGAGAGGGGGGTCGAGTCTTATTATGTTTGGGGGCAGTAACGTATCTGGAACCAGGCATGCGTGGTGCAATTTATGTGGTGCAATTAATTGGCGTAACTACTGAGTTGTAAATTCCACTGCTCGCGAAAGCTTCCCACCCTCCCGCCCGCAAGTTGTCTTGCACAATCCATGCGGCCATGATTGCGGATGAGCTTGGCATTAGTTGGCACACTCTTGCGGCCGCGTTGGCGCGCGCAGAGCGGCCAGCTGGTTTGGCACAATTGATGCGGCCGCGATGGCGCTTGCCAATGTGAGCTTCTTAATGCGTCTCAGAGGCGTCGCTGGCGCGCGGGCACTTCCGTGAGGGCCGATGATTCGGGCGGGCACGGTGTCATGATAACGCCAACATCGGCGGCATGATGATGATAATGGCAATGGTGGTGGCACTGATGACGATGACGGCGGCAAGGCCAATGACGGCGCCGATGCTGGTGACCGCGACGACGATGATGATGGTGATTATGATGATAATGGTGATGATGATGATTCTGTCCACGTGTCAATGATGAAAGTGATCGGTTGATGATGGCGGCATTGTCGGCGATTGGCGATGACGATAAGGGCGGTGATGATGCGATGGAGCTGTTGAGGGCGATGGTGAGGAATTGCGCGCGCAGACGTTCAATAACTCTGGCACACTTCGTGTGTACCTGTATGTGGTTTTGTCTCCATGTGATTTTGAAGCTGTGTCTTGAAGTGTTTCGAGCACCAGTGGTTCCGGAACGATTTCGACATGTGCGCGTGGCGGCGCGCACGTGCAGCACGCATGATGTGATTGTGTTCGGATTCGCGCATTGGACGCATGCAGGATCAATGTGGATGCACCGCGTGCTGAACTGCAAGTGCGGGTTATAGCTACTCTCCATCTCACAATAGTGGGGGGGGTCAAAAAAGTGTTTGACGGCTCGTTTTGGACCCAACCAAGCAAAATCGTGAGGTTCATACATCCGTTAGTGCGCGCGGGCAGAAGATCCGAAACATTTGTGATGGATAGTCTCTGGGCTTCTGATGGTCGTATGTCAACATGCTTGCACAACGAATTTGTTTGGTGAGATTTCGACCTGTGCGCGCGCGTGTGGATGTTGTTTCTTTCGGGGGTGGACAGACCTCCTACCCTGACACGTCGATTAAGGAATTGGCCGTTTTCGGTTCGCGGGAGGGCGTCGCGGCCGTCATTTTTTGCGGGTCCAGGTCCGTCGGTTTCGGTCTCAGGCCGTTTTGATTAAGGGGAGGTTTACTGAAGGGAGGTTTGTCCACCGCCGATCCGTAGTTTGCAATGGATGGTCGAAACATGATAGCTTAAGATGAACGAGTGCGCGCGCATGGTACTACTGGACAGGGGTAACGGTGGAGGGGTATCGATACCGGCCTGGCTCTGATGGTATGAGTTCATTTGGAAAAGGAGCGACGACACATAATCATACGTAAATTGCGGTGTTCCAGGAGGGGCTCGATAAGTCCGGGCTCGGGAGGGGTATGGATCCTGCGATCTTCTTTGAATGGAGAACGCGTGCGGTGCAAACTGTGTGGCGGAAGCTGTGTGGTGCAAACTACGTGGTGCAGCCAGCGCACGAAGCGCCCACGGGGCGCCCACGGGCGGCCTATGCCAGCGCATTTGCCGCCAAGGAGGGCGTCCGCGGCCAGCCGCGGGCGGCGTCTGGGCGAAGCACCCGGGACCGCCAGCCAGCGACCGACGCGCAAGGCGCCCACGGGCCACTGGCGGCGACCAGGGGAAGGGGTGTTTCCCCTGGTCGCCAGCTTGCCGTTGACTTCGTGACGAAGGTGGATGGATGCCCAGGCCGTGCGTTGGGCGCGCCTGGCATCATCAAAGCATGATGTGCGGCGACGCATTGGTCGCGCACGTCATCCACGTCGGCAAAAAAATGGGCGCTCTGGAACAATCGCGGCCACCTGCCGTTGTAGCCGTGATGGGAAAGACCGCCTGTTAGCGAACAGGGCGCACAAGGGTGGTTACGCAACGGGCGGCGACCAGGGACAGAAGCATAACCGCATGCTGGGGGCTCCTGGAAGTCGCAACTGCATCCCATGTTGACGAACATGTGCTCAAACACAGCAAAGGGAACCACTCTTCCTCTCGGCCGTGCGCTTGGACCAGCCGAACATGGCTCTGATATTTACGCCCCCGCACCCAAGGAAGTCGGCAGAATGACGCACTTACATGCCAGGCTTGTTTTGACAATTATCTGAATGAAGGACTCTGCCCTTTGGTTCTGTTTTTGGATTTGCAAAGCAACCCCTGTGAGTCTTCGCGCCCCCCCCTCCCCCCAGCACGCAGTTCGCAACGACAAGCATTGGCACGCCAGAATCTGCAAAACACTGCGCCACTCGAAAGGCTACCACATATACACTTTTGGCCACCAAAGCACCTTGCCAAGCCACGTCTGACGCCGTATTCCACGATGAGCACATACCGCATGCATGTGAGGGAATTTCTTACGACTGTCGGTTGTGATTTGGTGTTGTGGAGTCTGTCCCCATGCGTGTATGAGATCGTGCCCCAATCGCCGTTGCATCATCATATGGTGCCCAGCCCCGCTTCACCAGCATGGTTGTGTAGCATCGTTATTGACGCAGGCGGTTCTGTCACCACTGCTCAATAACGTATTTAAATTGCGTGATATTGGAACTCACATGGCACCACATGAAAGCAGACACTAAGAGAGCACCCCAACCACATCCGGGGATACCAGGAGCCATTCAGGACAGAGTTGCTGGTGCCGAGAAGAATTGTTATCGCGTTTCCGTGTGAAGACGAGAAGTTGCGTCGAAAGGGGGATTGAGCGATGAACGTATGCATGTATTACCTCGCAGGATTGTGTCTCCCCGAATGCTCTACAATCAGTGGTGATGGTGGTTGTCGGCATTGACGTCATCGGCTGTGTCATCCATGTCCTGCTCGTCCTCGGCAGCGTCGTCGTCGTCGTCATCCTCGGCGTTCTGGCTCCCACCGTCGACGTCGTCGTCGTCGTCACCGTCGTCGTCGCAATGATCATCACGCACTGCTACTTGTGCTTGCGCTGTTGTTGTTCCTGGTGGTGGTGGTGGTGGTGCTGCTGCTGCTGCTTATTGGAAGGGTCTTACGGTCAGCTCCGCCGACCTTGAAGGGGAAGGACCAGTTACGACCAGTTACGGGAGGCCCCAGAGAGGCCCCGAGCGAGTCGTGGAGCGCACGAAGGAAGGCCAATTGTTATCATTTAACGGCTTGAGGAACACCTCGAGATTGGAGCAGAGACGGAACATGGTGCCACCTTCATCGAATTTGGCAGCAAACCAGGGAAGTGTTGCATGTCTTCGCGTCTCCGTCTTTAGAGTGCAGTAGCGTGCCCTAGCACCTGGTAATCGATGAGGAAGCGCCGATCTAGCGTCGAGTAGCTTCGATGTAGCGTCGATTAGCGTCGGTTAGTGTCAGTCAGCGTCGATTCGCAAGAGCCAGCAAGATGACATGGGATGCCCCTTTGAGTTGCCACAAAAATCGAAGACGCCTACGGCGAATCATTGCCACCCCTTGCCTGTGGGGAACGCCCGTGCGGCCAAGTGTTGGGCCCAAGCCTGGCCAAGCTATTGGACTTTGTGCCCCCCCAGCCGTTGCGGAACCCTTCGGGGGCATCTAAGGGTTCTCTCTGCCTTCGGTGTTCTGTTCACGGATTGAATCCCCCAATCCATTGTCCGTGTCACGAATCCGCTATTGGGAGGTTAGCTTGTACCGCGTTCCTGAGGTGCCATGCGTTTTTTTCATCTAGGCTTGGTAACCGACTCCTCTTTGATGATGTCTAGCAGTGCAAAACAAGTCTGCATCCTCTGATTATCACTAATGGTCTTCACATGTGCAACATGTTCATTGGTACTGATGCAAGGCGCTTCTGTTTCAAAGTCTGGCTATCGCCCGAAGCTTCCTTGAATGCAGAGGTCATGAAGCATCATAGTTCGTACACTTAACTGGATTGAGGACGACTCCTTTTCAAACACATGCTCTCGCGCCAGCGCTAGGCAAGAGTATAGAACATTTCAATCAGCTACATCGGTGAATGTTAACATAGGAGCTCTGGTATGCAATACTAATTACATTGGGATCCCACCATGCCGATCCATTTGGCCTCCATCTTTTCATGGAGAGTTCATTGCAGCAGCAGCTGTGTTTGCCGGTTTTGCTTTAGTCCGCCCTCCGTCTTGTTTGTGCGCTTGCAGCGCGAACCCACCAATCTTCATTCTCCCTCCTTCCCCCCCGTCCCTCCATCGACCCCTCCTCCTGCCTCCTCGCTCCGCCTCTTCATCTTCCTAAGACGACCTTGTTGACGACGGCGGTGGCGACGATGACGGTGGGGACGACCACGACGACGACGATGGCCGCGACGACGACGACGACGACGACGACGACGACGACGACGACGACGACGACGGTGACGGTGACGACGACGACAAAGACTAAGACAAAGACAAAGACGACGACGGCACGCAGAGGCATGGACCCAGCGGTTATCCGCAGCGCCGCGATGGAGGACCGCGGGTGGGCGGCCGCGTTCTCGTTGTCGTCGCTGTCGTCGTCGTCGTTGTCGTCGTCAGGGTTATCGTCAAGGTCGTCGTCAAGGTCGGCACCGGCGCCGTCGTCGTTGCCGTCGTCGCTGTCGTCGTGGTCGGCGCCGACGTCTTCGTCGAATTCGTCGTTGTCCTTGTCGCCGCCGTCTTCAATGTCGCCCGAGGCGAATCCAGCCGTGGCGACGAGGGCCCTCTGGGAGGCCTACAGCAGGCGAAACGCACCAAGAACCTCTCCTGCCTCCTCCTCCCTCCACCGCCTGGCCCAGGAGGAGAAGAAGGACCAGCTGATAGCTTGCTCCATCGCGGAGGGATGCGCGCTCTACTGCTCCCAGCCTCGGTCAGCCCCTGGCGCGCCGGAGCGACTCTCCAGCCCCCGCCCCTCCGCCTCTCCAGGGGTTGGCCTAAGCGGTGTTGCGGCGATTTCGTGGGCCGTTTTCGTTTCGATTTCGTCTTGCAGCAAAGGCGGATCGAAGACAAAACGAGGGGCAATGAAATTTTCTTTCGCTGACGCTGACCCCCTCTAGTCACACCCCTCTTCGAGAAGGCGAGTGGCACATCCCTTGTCTCCCCTTCTGTGTCTCTCTCCCCCCCTCCCTCTCGCTCCCCTCCCCCTCATCTGCCGTCCCTCCTCCTCTTTACCGCCCATCCCTCCCGCTCCTCTTCCCCCTCCTCCGCTCGCCCATCTCTCCTCCTTTACCGCCCATCCCTCCCGCTCCTCTTCCCCCTCTCTCGCCCATCTCTCTCTCTCTCTCTCTCTCTCTCTCTCTCCTCTCCCTTCCCCCTCTCTCGCCCATCCCTCCCGCTCTTTACCGCCCCCTCCTCCGCTCGCCCTCCCCCTCTCTCCTCCCGCCTTCCGGGTCCCTTCCCCTCGCGAGGCGGGCGGGGCTGTGGACCAGGCGTGGGGGCCGAATCCCTCCTGGGGGGGGGGCCTCTCCAGCCGAGGACAGGGAGGAGAAGGAGGAGGAGCAGGAAGGTGCGGAGAGGATAGCAGGAGAAGGAGGAGGAGCAGGATAGGGAGGAGAAGAAGGAGGAGGAGGAGCAGGAGAAGGAGCAGTGTAAAGGAGGAGAAGGAGGAGGAGCAGGATAGGGCCTCGGACGCTGTCGGAGGCGTTAGCGTTCACCTGGACAGCATCCGAGGCAGGGAGGAGGAGGAGAAGGAGGAGGAGCAGGATAGGGAGGAGAAGGACCAGTGTAAACCCAAGACCCATCAACGACGTTGAAGTACACCCTCCCTCCAAGATTCCTCTTTCCAGGCCCCTACACGGGGCCATTTCCACTGAGGGAACTGCCCCGTGGGGGGACAACCGTGTGAACATCTCGAGGCGTGCCAAGACACCATTCTTAGGACTTCGACGCCGCGTGCTGGCCTGACTGGCACGTCTTGGCGATCCTGAACCGGGTCAGAACACCATTCCTGGGATTTCAACACCGCGAGCCAACGTAATTGTTGTGCCATGACAGTCCTGTACCGTTCCAAAACAACATTGCTGGTACGTCCACAATGAGAACCAATGAAACTCTTGCAACTGTTTAAAACGAGTGTGCGCGGCGCTAAGGCGAGAGCCACATCTTGAAAAGGAGCAGCTTTCATTCCGTTAAACTGCAGCATGTTGTTAAAAGAATGTGCGCGGCGCTGAGGCGAGCGAGAACCACATTTTGAAAACGGCCCGCCCTCAATCCGTGAAGTTCTTGCAAATGATTTGAAGAGAATGTGCGCGGCGCGAAGCCGAGAGCCACATTTCGAAAAGACATGCCCTCAATCCGTAAAACTCTTGCGAGTTTCCCAGGCGAAACGCCCGTTCCGCCCTTTCGACTGGCCTCGGGGTGCGACAGGGAGGAGTTATCGAAAAGGAAAAGAAATGGAGGAGGAGGCGGAGGAGGAGGAGGAGGAGGACGCGGAGGAAGAGGAGGAGGAGGAGGAGAAGGAGCAGGAGGAGGAGCAGGAGGAGGATGAGGAGCAAGAGTAACAAGAGCAGCACGATATGGAGGAAAAGGAGGAGGATATGGAGGAGGAGGAGGAGGAGGAGGAGGAGGAGGAGGAGGAGGAGGAGGAGGAGGAGGCCGCCGCCGGGGCCTACGACGACGCCCTGCTGGCTGCCTACGCGGAGCTCGCGCGCCTGGACCCCGCTAACAGAGCCGCAGAGGGCCCAGTGCCAGCTGCCGCTGCGCGCCAGCGGACGCGGCCTCCGGCCAGAAGCAGCTCGCGCCTGCTGCCTGGGCGGGCCCCTGGGCGCAGAACCCCAGCAGGGTGAGAGAGCGCACGGGGCTAGCCTGCCTGGCTGACCTTGACACCTGCCCCCTGCCTTTTGCCCTGGCCTGCCGCGGCGCGCTGGCTGGGCTCGCACAGCTGGCGCCGCCGCCGCCCCGCCCCGGCGCGGAGCCAGCCGAGCTGCCCAACTGGCCGACGCTGGCGGCCGAAGCTCCTGAAAGCCTTGACAGCAAGAGTCGCCAAGAAAAACTACGACTCCGTGCTGCAGGCCCTGGACCCAGAGGCAAAGGCGCTCTTCCGCTCTTGCGGCGGGCCGCACGCTGGCGCCTAGCAGAGCGCCTCGCCGGGCTTGGAGGCCCAGCGGCTTGACGACGCCGGCTACTGCAGCACGCCGCGGGCGCTGCTCGACCAGGCTGCGCCCCCCCCCCCCCGGGGCGACCTGCTGCAACGCTGCGCGGACTGGGGAACGCGCTGGGCAGCGCTGCGGCGAGCCGCTGGGAGACCAGGCCCGCCACGCCTGGCGCTGCGCCCGCGGGGGCGGCCTCAAGGCGCGCAGCGACCTGGAGCGCGCCTGGAGCCGCATCCACGCGGAGTGCGGCTTCCGCGTGGAGAACCAGGTGCACGTCCCCTCGTGGAACCGCTGGCGCTGGCGCTGCGCGGGCTGCGACGCGGGCGGGCGGGCGCAGGACAGGCCAGCGGGCCCCTGCGGCAGCTGCGGAGCCGCGCTGCGCACAGAGAGGAAGGAAGCCGTCCTCGACCTCGAAGTGCAGCGGGCGGGCCGCCCTCGCCTGTACTTCGACGTCACGGTGCGCTACTGCGTGCACGGTGACGGCGCAGCTCTGGCAGCCGCGGCCAGGCGAGACGGCGCGGTCAACGCCGAGGCGGAGGTCGACAAGCGGCGGCGCTACCCCGCCAGCCGCACCCCGTGGGGCATGGTGCCGCTGGGGCTCGAGACGGGCGGCCGGCCGGCACGGGCAGGCTGCCCTGCGGCACCTTTGCGAGCTCGCACGGGGCGAGGCGGCCCTGCTCGGCGAGGCGGCCGCCCCTGCAGCCGCCGGCGCCCTGATGGCCCTGTGGGGCCGTGAGCTCAGCGTGGCTCTTCACTGGGCCGCCGCCCGCCAGCTCAGGACGGCGCTGGGCGCGGACCGCGCCAGCGCTGGCCAAGCGGCCGAGCTGCGGGCAGCCGCGGCGGCCTGGCTGCGCCAGCGCTGTACTGGCCGCCGGCCGTTGCTCACGGTCGCCTACCGGGTCCTCTCGCTCTCGGAGAAGCACAGAGGGGGCGGCAAGCGGGCGGGCGTCACAGACCGCGTTTCGGGGTTCGCAGGAGCAGGAGGAGGAGGAGGAGGAGGAGGAGGAGGAGGAGGGGGAGGAGGAGGAGGAGGTGGGATGGACGAGGTGGAGGAGGATGAGATGGTAAAGATGGATGAGGAACAGGGCAGGAGCAGGAGGATGAGGAGGAGGATGGTGATGAGGAGGAGGATGAGGCCCATCGAGCAGTCGGAGCAGGACGAGTGTGAGGTGAGGGGACACAGCAGCAGAGCATGAGGAGGAGGAGGAGGAGGAGGAGGAGCAAGGTGCGCTCGCGCAACATCTGAAGTCCTACACCTCCTTCTCATCTGCTACCATGGCGCCGAAATATATTCTCTTCGCACAGCCAGATGCCGAGCAACGCACTGATCCCGACAGGGTACGATGGATGGTAGAGGACGGCGTAGCATGGCGTAGTAGAGCATTGCAGAGCGTAGCATGTCATAGCATGGCTTGGCACTGCGTAGTGAAACAGTGCATCACGAAGCGTTGCAACGTAAAGCATGGCATCGCACAGTGGCACAGAACACAAGCCCGCGCTGCATGTACTGGCATGGCGCCAGGTTCCTTGGAGTTGATTGTCTTCGAGGGGCTTGGGCAGGTGTGAAGTCGCGATTCCCTGGTCAGCTCCCGGGCTCCCAGCGAGCCATGAGGCGGGGCTGAGAGAGAGCACCCGCTGGCTCTGTTTTCAACATCACCTTCTCAAAATAGACACGGGGCTCCCGCCTGATATTTCTTCAACAAGATGCAGCGGTAGCACGGCTTGGAACGACCATCGGCGCAGAAATGGGGCCAGCGCTGCAGCGAAAACAATTTTTGAAGGACTGAAAAGAATCGGATGGTCCAAAACACGTGAAACCAAACTCCTCCCGGCAATTTTGTTTGTAAAAAACAGTACGTGGAGGGTGCCGGTCATCTTCCGCACAGGCTCAGGGGAGGGAGGAGAGTAGTATTCATATTTTGTGTTTGGAGGAGGAGCAACAACAGCAGCTGCAGCTGCAAAGCAGGAGGAGGATGAGAAGGAGGAGGAGGAGGATGAGGAGGAGAAGGAGGACAAGGAGGAGGACAAAGAGGAGGAGGAAACTCATCGAGGTTCCGAAGACCCCGGGTACGTGGCGCTGTTCGCCGCTGCGGCCTACTTCAACCACTCCTGCGCCCCGAACGCGAGCGTGGAGAGCACCCGCTCGGAGCTGCAGGTCCACGGCTGCCTTGCCACCCCGAGCACCCCAGCCTTCCATTCCTGAGTTTCTGTGTCAATCTTTAAAGTTCTGGCCTTGTTCGGGGCCTCTTGAGGCCATGATGCCAATTGGCCTGGCGAAGGGCCCAACCGTTTTGCGTCTGCGTGCAGTGGAGGGCGTGCCCCTCTCTTCGCATGCTGCGCGCCGCGGGGCGGTGCGGATGAGGGCGCTGTGGAGCAAGTGCGCGCATTGGGCGCGCTGAACTCCTTGTGAGGCACGAGCCGCGTGAGCGGGGGAGGGGGGGGCGACTCGGGCGGAACCCATGCCGTGGGTAGAGCTCCCCGTGGGGCGCGATCCGCACGAAGGGAGCGCGGCACACGAGGAGGAGGAGGAGGAGGCGGAGGAGGCGGAGGAGGAGAAGGAGGAGGCGGCGGCGAAGGAGGAGGGGGAGGAAAGGAAGGAGGACCCAAGCCGTTTGCGGGAAGTCGATCCCCCGCGCTCACGGGCTGGGGCGCCAGGTGTATCGTTCTTGCAGGGTTTCTTGGCCACGCCGACCTGACATTGCCATCTCGCGATGGCGCGTGTCTCTTTGGATGGGTATGGCCAGCGTGCGAAGAAGGGCAGACCATGCCTGGCGTGCCAGAGTTGCAACGCTGACTGTTCACGTTCAACGCAAGGAAAGTCTGGTGCAAGTGTGGCGTCGCCTTCAGCGCCCAGGAGGCGCAGGTGCACGTGGAGGCCATGATGATGGACCTCCACAGGCAGGACAAGGAGCTGCGGCGGCTCCAGAATCCGACATGGGAACCATGTTGGGCGCCATCCTTGCGGTGCTCACGGACCCCCAGAGGGCGCAGGTCGGCGGTGCAGTCCAGTCGGCGGCAGCGCTCGTGGTACTTCAGCAGACCATACCAGCGGCGGCAACAGCCAACGCATTTCAGAAAGTTCGGCACCATGAGCGGAAGGCAGCCGAGCTCGAGGACCACATCGGGAATCTGGGGGCAGAGCTCATCCAGACCAGGACAGACCACGAGCATACTAATAATGAGTTGGCCGACGCGCGGCAGAAGTTGGAGCAGGCCAGCATCGAGCATCGAGGCGACGGCCCAGTGGTGACCAGAAATGCAGGGACGTCGTGGTCCAGCGGAGCCAGTTCGCATGGAGGTCGACGGCAAAGGGGGTGGCCAGGACCCCGGGCCAGCGCAACCACCAGGCCTCGGTGCAGCTCAGCCATCAGCCATGGCAGCAGCAGCAGCAGCAGCAGCACCAGTGCCCCCAGTACTAGCGCAAGTACGTGAGGCGCTCGGAGGCCCACAAGGTCCAGCAGCACATGCAGCCCGTGCCTCCCTCCAGCTGGTGGAGGCAGCCACCCAGCCGCAGCAGCCCCCCCAGGCACCCCGCGGTGGGGCAACAGCGGCACCCGCAGCAGCAGCGGGCGCAGCACGGGCGGAAGGCGCGAGAGGAGGAGCGGAGGCTCCTTTGCGCGCGCTTCCCCACCGAGACGCAGCCGCAGCGTCCTTGGCAGGGCCGACGGGGGAGCCGGTGCTGATGATAATTTCTGAGGAGGCCAGCTCCCCCCGTACCAGTCGAAGTACACGTTGCGAAGGCACCATAATCAGATCTCCTCAGCCGATCTAGTTTCACAGATTCGCACTCTAGCGTTACCACCTTTGCAAGTGATTTTGACACCAATGAAGGAAACGGTTGTCTTTGTCAAGGGGGTTGCAGGGCATTCTGCCACGTCGGCGCGAGCGTTCTGCCCCAGTCGACACCTTGCGAATCGACCCAGCTAGCATTACCAGTTGGAATCATATGTCGAACTAGTACATTCATTCAGAGGGTTTCCAGAAGCCTCGCGTCGTACTTTCGGGGGGATGCACGTGCTGCTGGGTAGGCTCCGAGAGATCCACAAGTTCATGTCTAAGCCGCGTCTTTGTCCAGCGCAGCAGACGTCACGGACAGGCACGCACGGCGGCGTTGGAGTTTTTGTCCAGCGGCAGTTGCACTCACATGCTAGATTTCTTGGAGCAGAGGCCAGGGAGCACCGCTATGTGGGAGGACTGGTTGGACAGGGTGTCGTTTGAGACTGCGCAGCGTGGGCTACAACGAGTATAGCTTGAAGGTAAGCGGCGAGAGAACCACCTTCATCAGAGCTCTGAAGTTGCCGTGCATCCTGAGAGGGGATGGAATATAACAGCTCATGAGCTCTTGGAGCGGCGCCCGTTAGGGAGGATGCGTGCTGCTCCCTTGGGTCGAACTCAGGCACGTACTTTCTGTGACGCACGGAGGAAGGAGATGAGGGAGAACGCGTGCTGCTCCCTTGGGTCGCGCTCTGGGACGCAAGGGGGGGAACAGGAGACGGAGGTAGGTCAGTAACACACTTTCGGTCCATTGGAGTCAGAAACAGGGGAAATGCGATCATTTGTTTATATTTTGGGTTTCGGGGTTTCCTGGGCCCCGGGGCTTACTTCGATTGCAAAGGGGGATTCTGTAAAGCACGGCCATCTGTTTTTTCCCAACCCTCCTGCGTTGGGTACTCGTTTTGAATAGAGCACTGCGGTCTCCACTCCTTCCTCCCGCCTCCCTCCACCTCTCTTCCCTCCTCCTCTCCCCTCTCTTGCTTCCCTTCTCCTATCTTCCCTCCTCCTCTCCTCCCTTGCTCCTCTCTTCCCTCCACCTCGCCATCCCTGGGTGGCTGCGATCTGTGAAACTGTCGCCACTTTCGAGGGCTGCTGTGGGGCGAGCAGAGTGACGTCTTACGGGGCTTCAGATTAGACCTCGCCATCGCTGGGGGACTGCGATCCGTGAAACTGTCGCCACTTTCGAGGGCTGGTGAGGGGTCCAGCACAGTGGGTATTCACCGCAGACTCAGATTAGACCTCGCCATTCCTGGGGGGGTGCGATCTGTGAAACTGTCGCCACTTTCGAGGGCTGCTGATGGGCACAGCACAGTGGGTACTCACCGCAGACTCAAATTAGACCTCGCCATCCCTGTGGGGCTGCGATCTGTGAAGCTGTCGCCACTTTCGAGGGCTGCTGAGGGGCCCAGCACAGTGGGTACTCACCGCAGACTCAGACTAGACCTCGCCATCCTTGGGGGGCTGCGATCTGTGGAACTGTCGCCACTTTGGCGGGCTGCTGAGGAGCCCAGCACAGTGGGTACTCACCGCAGACTCAAATTAGACCTCGCCATCCCTGGGGGGCTGCGATCTGTGGAACTGTCGCCGCTTTCGAGGGCTGCTGAGGGGTCCAGCACACTGGGTACTCACCGCAGATTCAGATTAGACCTCGCCATCCTTGGGGGGCTGCGATCTGTGAAATTGTCGCCACTTTCGAGGGCTGCTGAGGGGCCCAGCACAGTGGGTAGTCACCGCAGACTCAGATTAGACCTCGCCATCCCTGGGGGGCTGCGATCTGTGAAGCTCGAGGGCTGCTGAGGGGCCCAGCACAGTGGGTACTCACCGCAGACTCAGATTAGACCTCGCAATCCCTGGGGGGCTGCGATTTGTGGAACTGTCGCCACTTTCGAGGGCTGCTGAGGGGCCCAGCACAGTGGGTACTCACCGCAGATTCAGATTAGACCTCGCCATCCCTGGGGGGCTGCGATTTGTGGAATTGTCGCCAATTTCGAGGGCTGCTGAGGGGCCCAGCACAGTGGGTATTCACCGCAGATTCAGATTAGACCTCGCCATCCCTGGGGGGCCGTTGGGTTCTCGTTTTGAATAGAGCAGTGCGGTCGCGTCTCCTCCTCCTCCTCCTTCTCCCGCCCCCTCTCCGCTCTCCTCCCTTCTCCCCTCCTCCTCTACTCTCCCCTCCTGCATCGTACCTCGCTCGTCGCTGCGTGCCAGCTTGCCTCCTACCTGGTCATCCCTGTGTGGGGCTGCGATCTGCGAAACTGTCGCCACTTTCGAGGGCTGCTGAGGGGCCTAGCACAGTGGGTACTCACCGCAGACTCAGATTTGACCTCGACATGGAGGGCGCTGCGGCTTGCGCCGTCGCTACCGTCCTTCGAGGTTGCCCGTCGGGCCCTCTTAACAATGATCATCGTGCATATTGTCGGCCTGCAGCTCCCTACCGGTGCAAGAAAAAGCTCGCCCGCCCGGCTGTCTTTGAATTGCGCGAGTCTGGCGTATCATTACCGAGACGTGCGTGCCCTGAAGTGAGGTTGCCCGTCGGGCCCTCTACTCACTCCCGATTCGTGACCACGAGCAATGCTCGCGTGCCCGTGTTCTGCGGCTTGCGCCATCGCTACCGTCCTTCGAGGTTGCCCGTCGGGCCCTCTTAACAATTATCTTCGCGCATATTGTCGGCCAGCAGCTCCCTACTGGCGGCAGAAGAAGCCCGCCTGCCACGCTCTCTTTGCTTTGCTCGAGTCTGACGCAGCATTGCCGAGGCTTGCCGGCCCTGAGGTGAGATTGTCCGTCGGGCTCTCTAATCACTCCCGATTCGTGACCACGAGCAATGCCGCGTGCCTTCGCTCTCTGCGGCTTGTGCCATCGCTACCGTCCTTCGAGGTTGCCCGTCGGGCCCTCTTAACAATTATCATCGCGCATATTGTCGGCCGGTAGCTCCCTACCGGTGGTAGAAGAAGCACGCCTGCACGGCTCTCTCTTCCTTGGCCACCATCATGAGAGGCGCCACTTTCGTAAATTTTCAGAGAGGTTTTCCCGATGATTCCGAGCACTGTTGATGGATTTTAACATTCTTTTTCTAGGTCACTGTCCTTGAAAGGCGCCACTATCGCAAATTTCCAGAAACAGTTTTCCCGTTGACTCAGAGCACCGTCGCCAATTTTCCAAATTCACTTCCTATGTCACCATCCTGAAAGGCGCCACTATCGCAAATTTTCTGTAACAGTTGTCCCGTTGACTCCGAGCACCGTCGCTACCCACGGAGTCGAGGCAAGAACCCTGCTCCGCTTGCCACTTGATGCCATTGGGTTGGGTACGTCGCAGGGTATTTTTTACATGTTTCGTTTTTAGCTTTCATTCGTCTTTGTGTTTATGGTTGTTTTTGTTGCT